GCAGGTTCCTCTTTACCGTAGGGAGTTCTGATTCCCCTTATGTTCCAAAATTTTACTTGCTTTTTTTATGCCTTGTTTCTGTCACAGTGAATGATCAGACTCTGACCATTTTTACGATTCTCAGACCCTGACCTAAGACTTTATTTGAGCCATGGATAGGGGGTGGGGGGGCTCCCTTAGAGCAGGATGGGGTCGGACACAGAGATACAAGGAGAGGGGCTGAAGCAATAGCACAGCGGGTAAGGTGTTTGCCTTGCACACAGCCAACCCGGGTTCAATTCCCAGCATCCCATATGGTCCCCTGAGCACTGCCAGGAGTAATTCCTGAGTGTAGAGTCAGATGTGCATCACCAGGTGCGACCCAAATAGCAAAAATAAATAAATAAATAAATAAATAAATAAATCCTTACAGTACTCAGCTGGCTTAGACAACTGGGAACTGACCAAGCAAAAAGTAAAAAGTAAAAAAAAGTGAAAAATCACACTAAGGACAAATGTTGCTGTCTATGTGAAGAAGAGAGTGATTATTAGTCATGGTCAGAAAGAGGAAAAACTCAGGGATACAGAACGAACATCCCAGAAAATTCAGCAATCTAATCAAATAAACCACGAGAAATAGGGTTTTGTTATGTATTTATGACACAAAACTCGAAATCTAGATGTAGCCTTTCAATTCGGTATTTAAAGGAACAGTGACACTTCCTGTTTCAGAGCTGCAGGCGCAGTCTCCAATTCCAGCTTACTGTAGAGGCTCTGAAATCTGTGCCCACATCGTTATCAAGGATTAGGAAAAATCCATGGCAGGAAGCTTGCCAAAAATTGGGTGGGGGCAGGGGGGAATGTGGTTAGGACAGAGAAGGGACCACTATGACAAAGATAGTTGGAAATGATCACTGTGGACAAGAACTGAGCGCTGGAAGGAGACAAAGTGATGTGCCGGATACCCTTTCAGAAATGGGAAAGAGAGAGTGGGGTGGGAAGAGAAGAAAGAAAAAAAGTGTCTGCCATAGCAGCAGGTTGGGGGGTGGGGGGACGGCGGGAGGGAAATTGGGGACACTGGTGGTGGGAAATGTACACTGGTGAAGGTACCGGCATTGGAATATTGGATGACTGAAACCCAGTCATGAACAACTTTGTGACCGTGTATCTCACGGGGACTCAATTAAAAAAAAAAATTGAAAAAGAGAAAAAAGAATTAGAGATAAATTGATAGAACATACTTTTCCAACACAGGCAAGGGAATAAACGTTGTACTGGGGGTGCTGAAGACAGTACAGAGGGAAAGGCACTTTTCTGGCTTGGGGTCCATCCCAGTTTGATTCAAGGTACCACACAGGGTCCCCTGAGCACCACAGAGAGTGATCCCTGAGCACAGCCAGGCATGGCACACGCCCCTCTCCCCAAAGTTGTATTGAGATATAAAGCAATCACTTTTGTGTCCTATTTAATACAATTTGCAAATAATTTTTTTCTTTTTGGGTTATACCCAGTGACACACAGGCTCTGCACTCAGGAATTACTCCTGGCTGTGCTCGGGGGACCATATGGGATGCTGAGAATCGAACCCAGATCGGCTGTGTGCAAGGCAAACGCTCTACCCGCTGTGCTATCGCTTCAGTGCGCTCCTCCCCCACCAAAAAAAAGCATTTTCAAAGTAACAAGCTTCCTTGATAGAAATGACAGGGCCCTAAAACTGGACGGCTACATGCAAAAAAGTGGGCTCAGATCTCTGCCTAACGCCATGCACAAAAGTAAGATCGAAATGGATTTATGACCTCAACATCAGACCGGAATCCATAATGTTTATTGAAGACAAAGTTGGCAAAACTCTCCACGATATTGAAGTTAGTGGTATCTTCAAAGATGTCACGTCACTGGCCGAGCAAGTGAAAACAGAGATAGACAAATGGGACTATCTTAAACTAAGAAGCTTCTGCACCTCAAAAGAAACAGTGACCAAAATACAAAGACAGCCTACAGAATGGGAAAGAATATTCACCAAATACACATCCGACAAGGGGTTGATATCAAGGATATACAAGGTACTGGTTAAACTACACAAGAAGAAATCACCCAACCCCATCAAAAAATGGGGCGAGGAAATGAACAGAAACTTTCGCAAAGAAGAAATCCAAATGGCAAAAAGGCACATGAGAAAATGCTCTACATCACTAATCATCAGAGAGATGCAGATCAAAACAACAATGAGATATCATTTCACACCACAGAGACTGGCCCACATCCATAAGAACAAAAGCAACAGGTGCTGGCGCGGATGTGGCGAGAAAGGGACCCTCCTTCACTGCTGGTGGGAATGCAGGCTGGTCCAACCCTTTTGGAAAACAGTATGGACGATTCTCAAAAAATTAGAATTTGATCTGCCATTTGACCCAGCTATAGCACTCCTGGGAATATATCCCAGAGAGGCAAAAAGGTATAGTCGAAGTGACATCTGCAATTGTTTGTTCATTGCAGCACTCTTTACAATAGCCAGAATCTGGAAAAAACCTGAGTGCCCAAGAACAGATGACTGGTTAAAGAAACTTTGGTACATTTACACAATGGAGTACTATGTAGCTGTCAGAAAAGATGAAGTTATGAAATTTACATACAAGTGGTACTACATGGAAAGTATCATGTTAAGCGAAATGAGTCAGAAAGAGCGGGATAGACACAGAAAGATTGCATTCATCTGGGGAACATAAAGCAACAAAACGGGAGACTAACACCCAGGAATGGCTCAGATTAGTACCAGGAATTTTGTTCCATGACTTGAAGGCCAGCCACATGTGCTAGGTGAAAAGGAAGCTCAGATAGAGAAGAGAGCACCAAATAAAGGATGTTGTGAAGACCCTCCCAGGGTGGGAGAGACATGCTAAAAGTAGTCTATAGACCAAACATGATTGCCACTCAATGCCTCTCTGGCAAAACACAGTACCCAAAAGAAGAGAGAGAGAACAAGGGTGAATGTCCTGCCACAGCGGCAGGGTGGGACGGGGGGGGGGGGGGGATGGGGGGGTGGGAGGGATGCTAGGACCCGTGATGGGGGAGGATGGGCACTGGTGGAGGGATGGGTACTTGATCATTGTATAACTGAAACCCAAGCACAAAAATTTATAAGTCTATAAATGTACCTCATGGTGTTTCACTAATAAAGAAAAAAAAAAAGAAATGACAGGGCCCTGCTCGGTGGCTCTCTCCCTCGGAACAGACACAGCATGCTATCACACAGACCATGAAACAAAACTATCACACACTTCAGCTTGCACGCTCAGATCATAATTCAATCACCCCCAAGTTCCCTTACACACAATTCTTTCTTTTTATTTTTGCTTTTTGGGTCACACCCAACGATGCTCAGGGGTTACTCCTGGCTCATGCACTCAGGAATCACTCCTGACGGTGCTCGGGGGACCATATGGGATGCTGGGAATCGAACCTGTGTCAGCCATGTTGGCTGTGTGCAAGCAAACACCCTCCCCGCTGTGCTATCGCTCCAGCCCCCTTACACACAATTCTTGACCTCTTTCCGCAATTTAAAAAATGGGAGTTACGGGACAGGAGAGACAACACAGTTAAGTGTGTTCCACTTGCAGTGCTGCCCACGTTTCATCTCCAGCACCCCATTTGGTCCCCAGAGTCTGCCAGGAGTGATCCCGGAGTACAGAGCCAGGAATAAGCCCTGCACACTATGGGGGGGGGGGGGGTGGCCCCGAACAAAATAAAACAGAAGTTCCAATAGGACCAACTTCCCTAAAGCTTCTCTAAGCTTTTCTAAGAATAAAAGAAAGCAATGCCTGTAGTAGGCTGCTGGCTCAAAGGACAGGCTGATTAAGAAAGGCAGAATTTAAAATGTCCATTTCCCAAAATTTTGAACCACGCCAGAAAGAGTAAAGCACTCCTGATGAGTCACTAAATTTTGTGAGTTTAGTAATTTCTTTTGCCCCCTGCCCCAAAGAAGCCCCAAAGCACAGAGGTTCTGGACGGTCACTCCCAGTGACATTCAGTCAACTGGACCAAATGGTTGAGGGTTGAGTTCTGGGGCCTGTGAAGTGGTACCTGGGCACTGTGCAGTTCTGTGAATCAAACCCAGGGTTCTCGTGTCTGTCTATAGACCCCTGAGCTATCACCCCTAACAATTACTTACATTGTGTTTTTTTGTTTGTTTGTTAGCTTTGGGGGCTACCCCTGACAATGTCTGGGGTCGGGGGTCACTCCTGGCAGGATTCGAGAGACCCTCAGAAGCTGGGGATTAAACCCAGGCCTCTGACACATAGCACATGCTTATTCTGTTGAGCTGTTCTCCAGTTGCCTCCCTAAATCCCTGCCCAGTAATTGCTTAAAAAAAAAAAGCCCAAAAACTCAAACATTTTATCAGAAAATGAAAAAGAATCCCAGTCATGTGACTGTAGTGTATAACGGATGCACATGGCTTTTTCCCTGAGGGATTCGGGCATATGCTCATGGATGGAATATTTGATAGATGAATATTTCTAATATGGCATCCCCAGGACTCCCGAAGCAAAGAAACGCCTAGGGAAACGATAAAAGGCAACAGACCGTGGCTCTTACACAACCACACTGCCCAATTGATCTACAAATGCCAGAGCATTCAGCTGCAACCAGGACTAGTGACATGTGAAGAATGGGGCCACTTCTAGAACATTCTTTAAAATCCTGCATCGTGTACAGTCTCTTTAGTTAAATGAGGTACAACAGTTTTAATGAAGTTTGTTATATAGATTTCAGGTGTGCATCCTGGGGAATCCATGCTTGCAGATATTGTTTATGTTCACAATTAAAAGTCCACTTCTCTCCGTCACCATTCAACTCACACCTTTTACTTGATTGACTACTGTGGTCCCCCAAACCAAACCAAAACAACGATGACCAAAGTCTCAATTCACAAGCCCTGCAGAAAATGCATGTACCTGAAATCAGAATACCCATTGAGAGCAATTTCCTGCCAGCTAGAGGCAGCCTGAACAAGCATTACTTACTTTTGCTCGACATAGAGAGGATCAAAGAATTCTGTTGTGATTTTGTTGGCGTACAGGGAGCAACCAGTCATGGAGCAAAGCCCTGGAAGGGACAGAGGGAAAGGACCACGGTGAGTGTGAATTGGTTCTCCGGATGCAGGAGCTGATGGGGATGGAAGCTTCTAGTTACCTGACAGTATGAATACAATCCCAGCCAAACAGGCAATCTTAGCTTTGGCTTGATCCGAACCTCCGACTTTGGTGCACTTCATGCCAAAGAGTGCAAATATGGAGCCAAAGAAGCCCAGGCTGACAGCGGCGATCATAAGTCCTCGGCATGCCTGGATATAGCCTACAATGAGAGTTGTATGAATTGTTGTGTGAATTGAGTCATTGTGTGAGCATCAAGTGTTGGGTGGTCCAGGGGGAAATCCTCAACTCCTGATCTCCTTCCTTATCAAAACCACTGTTCTGCTCTTTGCCAGAACCACCCCTGTAGCCCAGACACAACTGGGAAGACACACAGGAAAGGGATGTGATTTAATCAGGGAGGTGGAGTACCAGGCATGGGGCATGCACCTTCCAGTTTGGGGGATGCACATGCCCCCCGGCTATATCTCAGAGTATACTATTCCCAAAGCACAGATGAGGAAGGAAGTGAAGATGCCATAAAGACAGATCTGGTTTAAGGTTGAAAAGTGGATTCTATACAGAGCTGGTTGCAAAATCCACACCACACTGCCTCCCCCGACCCCAGGAGCGTCTACCGTGAGCTCAACCCTTGCATGTGGAACCTTTAAATTTACCTCCTCAAAGTTTTGACATTATACCGCTTACAGTTGGGCAGCCGGGCTGTTCAAAGGGCTAAATCTTCTGATATTTGCAAAATCTTGTCAAAGAGACCCGCTGGCGTATCAGTATGAACTCTGAAGAGGCTTATCAACATGGATTTTTAAGGCATTCTATTATGACATGTAGAATCAGCTTGGATTGCAACAAGCTTTGGGGGTTTGGTGGGAGAAAAATAGCTGACAATTTCCACACTGCATAGAAATGGATGCTTTCAAAGCAGCCAAAAAGTTGGTGCCTTTAACCATTTCTTCCCCATCACTCACTTTCTTAGGCACATGTTTTTTTTTCCTTGTAGAGTGAGGGGTGGTAATCTTCAACTCAGCTTTTGTCCAGACACTCACAAATTTGAAATGAACAGAGTTTAAATCCAATTATCAAAGAAGAGATCTATTTCCATTTCCCACAGGGCCATATTTTAACTGAAAATAGGAATGGCACATACTGGTACAAGTAAATAGTTATTAAAAAAATAAATCTATAGATAATTAGACACATACATACATTAGGTTTGTGTGGGGAATCCAACTTTTAAATTTGGAAGACACTCCTAAGTTTCAGGATAGAGCAAGTCAGGTATTCTTTGGATTCAGTAAAATTCTAGAATAAATAATAATTCTAAACTGTGTGCTTCAAAAATTTGAGGACCATTGGTGGCAGGTGGAGTCCAATTCATGTTTCTCTGGGAGAAAATAAATTCTGAATGGTGTTTTGGTGGTGGGGGGAGATGTCATACTCGACACTGCTTCAGGGACCGGATGGTGCTGAGGATCAAATCGGGGTTTCCTCTTGCAGCCCATGGAGCCATCTCCCTAGTTCCACAATATTAAGTGTGTTCCTAGGATCTTTTTTGCAACGATGTTCTCCTGAGTTGTAAAAATGAAATTCCGCCTCCACCAATGTGGTCGGGTCTCCCATTGTATCACTTCCAGGCTGAAAACACTTTTCCCGATGGCAAGACTATCAAATCAGCAAAAGTTGCTTATTTCTGTTCTGCTTTTTGCCAAAACCACCCCTGTGGCCCAGACACAGCTGGGAAGACACACAGGAAAGGGATGTGATTTAATCAGGGAGGTGGAGTACCAGGCCTGGGGCACGCACCTTCCGGTTTGGGGGATGCACATGCCTCCCTCTACTCCCCACCCCCCAGCTACATCTCAGAGTGTACTATTCCCAAAGCACAGATGGAGGAGAATGGAGGCTTATTTTGGTAACAAGAGTCATACTGGAGGCCTGGGCCTCTGCTGCCAAATCTGGACCCAAAGCTATTTTAAAGTCCAATCTCATGTCCTCACCAGATTCCCGGATGCAGGCAGAGGCACAGACAGGGCAAAGCCTTGTGTGTTCGGCAAGAGCCCCTGAGGCTGACCACCGCTGGGTCATCACCGGCATCACTCCAGCCAATGGAACCCTATGGCTTCTTTATTATTTTTTTTTCCAACATGTGTATGACAGTGATGACGGTAAGCGCCCAGTATCACTGTAAATCGATGAACAACAGGATGACAGTGATTCAGTGATACAGTGATACTGGAATTTGTGGTTTTGAGGTTGTTTTAGCTGATTCTAATCACTTAACAGCCAACACGGTACTGTTTTGGCGCTTAACATCATCACTGTCATACACATATTGAAAAAAAAATCTGTCCTAGAACACTTGCATCACACACCATACTTTCCATGGACTTATGCAATCTTACACACTCTGAACAGAAAATGTAAGAACCTAGAAAAAAACTGATATCTGACAGTATGGTCGTTTATTTACCCAGTGGTGAACAGAGAGAACTCCAGGCTGATGGAATTTCTTTCCCCTCCCTATACCTGGGAAAATGGGAGTTGTATTTAAAGTTCTAAAATTCATCTTACTGTCTTCTGAGTTTCTCTCTGCATTCGCCCATCTTGTTACTGGCAGCACCTGACCATCTAATTTCCCAGCACACGGATGAAGGGGTCGGCAAACTGGGATGGGCGCAAGTTCTCTATGTACCCACCAAAAGCCTGACCTGGATGATCAGACACATTCCTCCAGTGTGCAGGAGGTAGGAGGGGTTACCTACCCTTCGTATGAAGAAAGACACTTTGCCATTTCGACCTCTAGTGAGCTTCTCTGAAACGGGGACCAAAGTGGAAGGACTGGGATTCTCGGGGATCGACTTCCTTCGAATTGCCACTGAGCTATTAGGATTCCTGAGGTGTGACGCTTAAACCCACCCACTGACTCAGGACCTAAGTGACTTCCAGTAGTTTATCACTTGCAGAGTTTATCATTTGCAAGGCAGACCTCACTGCCTTGCCCTTTCCCCAGTTCCGGAGGGCAAGACTATAAGTAACACGGTTCAGGGAGGTGGAAGTAAAAACCAGCCAAGGAGGCTATTATTTTTGACAGGGCTAATTTACTGGGCCCGTTAATAGCTAATGAACACATTAAGGTGCTGAGGCATGAAAATATTTACTCAGAAGTTCTCTGAAGTATAATTTATAGTTCATTCTCTGGGAAGAAATGGCAAACATTCCCACTAACACAAATAGGTGGTGAAAGAAACCTGGCAGAAGGAGACTGAGCCGAGGAGCCACTGGGCATTTGGAAGGAGCACGAAGAGTGAGGCACAGAGAATGCCAGCCCACCCGGCCTTTCAGGGGCCTTTGGAAAACAGAGTGGGTTGTAATGGACCCATTCTGTTGGAGGCAACACCCAAGGGGGTGTTTTCTAAGTGATGTGTACCTTATTTTCCATTCAAACCAGCAGCAGTAAAAATATCCACATGTGAGGAGGAGAGAGGGAGGAGAGAGAAAGAGGGAAAGAAATGAAGAGAGAGAGAGGGAGGGAGGTGGAGAGAAAAGAAAACAGAAGAGAGGGATGGAGAGAAGATGGAGGAAGAGGGAAGGAGAAAGAGGGAGAGAGATGGAGATAGGGGGAGGGAGAAGGATGGTGAGAAAAGGGGAGAGGAAGGAAGAGAGAGGGATGGAGAGAGAAAGGGAGAGAAAGGAAGAGAGAAAGAATGAGGGATGTAGGAAAAGAGAGGGAGGGAGAGGGATGGAGAGACAAAGGGAGAGAAAGAAAGATAAAGAGAGGGGGATGGAGGAAGAGAGGGAGCAAGAGGGATGGAGAGACAAAGGGAGAGAGAGAAAGAGAGAGGGAGGGAGGAAAAGAGAGCAGGAGGGAGACAGAGAGAGAGAGAGAGAAGTGCTTTGCTTTTTCTAGAAGTAAAGTTCGCTGAGTGCAGACCCTTTGGGAGAAGAGTAGTCTGGGGGACAGGCATGAACTCTGCATTCTTCTATTTTCCCCACTGTGTGCCCTTGATTTTATTGCTCAAATCTCTCTGAGCCTCCTCTGTAGAACCTGTCTCTTCTGCAGAACTGAGGTAAAGTCCCCTTACTTCCCAGGATAAACCAAGAGGATGGGGTGTGCTAAGAAATTAATCCAAGGGGTCGAAGCGATGGTATAGCAGGTAGGGCACGTGCCTTGCGTGTAGCTGACCTGGGTCTGATCCCTGGCATCCCACATGGTCCCCTGACTACTGCCAGGAGTAATTCCTGAGTGCAGAGTCAGGAGGCAGACCTGAGCATGGCCAGGTGTGGCCCAAACACAAAAGACACTCATCAAAGATTCCTTCCCATTATTCTACGATAATCTGAGCAGAAATCACAGCTGGCGTCTATACAGGACATCACTTTACATCTACATGGTTAGCTTGCATGGGCTTCGTTTTTCTTAGAAGGAAAAGTAGGGTGACAAGGATACCCCTCTGACGATGAGGAACCAGCACTTGGACCTCACATCAGGAACTCGAGCAATGATTCCACCATCACCCCAGCCGCTGAGAGGCCATTCTTCTATCTAAGATGAGACGAGAGCAAGTCGCAAGCCTTCTCCTCCTTATATTTGCTTCTTAGTCTAGAGTAGTGTTTCTCAACCAGGGGCCAAAAATGGCCATGAGTGTGCCCTCATATTCCTGATGAAATAGTGTAAATGGGGGGGGGGGGGGTTGCAAAGCACAAGACTAGAAAGACAAGTGGTAGGAGAGAAGGCCACAGCAAGGAAACAGGTCACAAGGGGGATACAGTCAAAGGACGTTGAGAAACACACAGTTGATGAATGAGTACAAACAATCAAGGGTCTGAGCTTCTGTCTAGCTGATGGGGGAGGATTGATCTGTGTAGAGCTTCTGCTACCACTTCAAAAGCCACACCGGGACGTTCATCAGAACCATGGGGGTGCTGGGAAGTGGTGGACAAGCAGAGGGGCCTGTTCCACAAAGTTTCCTTTGTAGGAGGTAGTGACCATCAACATCTCTATACAGGAAGATGGACCTGTGGGGTGGCTGGAGAGAGTACAGGGCTAAGGCACTTGCCTTGCACACAGCTAACCCAGATTGAGCACGACAAATGGTCCCCAGAGCCCTGCCAAAAGTGATCCCTGAGGACTCCCAGGGTGGGGTGAGTAGACACCCTTCCCGCCCCAAGGTTACCCAGCCCTGGGAGCCAAAAACCCCCAGAACTCAACCACTGCTATGCTCACAGCCACTCTCCACATGCTCGGGCCATGCCTCACACACAAGTCAACCTATTCCTGGACCACACAGCCACAAATGTGGCGGTGTTACACTTCATAGGACACACCCTACCCAAACTCCAAGAGTGCCATATCACACTTGATGGGGTTCAAAGTGGGAGACAACTAGCCTTAGAGGGAAATATGTTTTTACAGATATATATGTATATATGCGTGCACACACACTCACACATACATATATAAAAGCACACAAGGTTCAACCTTCAGCAACATGTTAGTGATCTCTTATAGAAGGGCTTAATGGCCCCTGTGTGAAAACAATCTTCACACTCTTTCCTCTAAGGATACCTTTTTGTAGCATTTTCAGCTCTTTTTCATAACAAACAATACAAAATATATTATCTCGGTTCTGCTTTGGGGCAGGGATTGGGGTTCAGGAAGGAAACATCCAAAATATGGTGGTTGGGAAGGTGTCATGGTGGTGGAATCGTTGTTTGAACATTAAATATAATCAAATATTGTGAACTACTTTATAAAATAAAAAAAAATTTAAAAATGATCCGTGAGCACAGCTGGGTGTGGCCCCCAGAAGAAACAAAATAAAAAGGAGCTTTGTGGCAGAGACCCACAAATGTTACTCTGGAGGCCAGAGAAAAGCTGGTCTGTCATCTCGGGGAGAGGGAATGCCTTCTTCAGTCATGGAGGCTGAGCCAAGAGGGAGAAACTGGTAAATCTGCTTGTGGCACAAACTTCTCTGTGTGAGAAAAGCTATCAATCAAAACGCCGTGGTAAATTCAAAGGCGAGTCACAGGCCAAGATGGGAACAGAGATCACAAGCCAAGGATGGCACCCTGAATTTGAAAAATAAATCACTCCAAGGGGAACTGCAGAACCATGGCAGGCAATTCCCAGGAAAGAAAATGGATATAGACAGTGAAGAGTCAATACATGCAGCATCTGAAGATCAAAACTGCGGGTTGTGAGATGGTACTATGATGATGCATGACACGGGGTGAAGAACTTAGTGGTTAGACTCGTGTGAATTACACACGCACAGAAATCTGTGTGTGGAAACAAGCATCCATGGCCAAACCAAGCCTATTTCCCAGGATCTACTATAAAAATACACATGTGAAGGGGGGAGTATTATACAAACCTTCAGTAACGTGTTACCAAAGCTACCACCAAGTATGGGGAGGTGGTGAAATAAATGCGTTTGTCCTGACAAACGAATATGACACAGTCACTGAGAGTGACATCGATAGGAACTGTCTTGGGAAGGCATTTTGTAATCTGTATGCCTGAGCAGCCACGGACACCTGTGCACACCTGTGTATAAACGTCATTCTCAGCTCCATTCTCAACGACTTCTAGAAGCTGGTTACGGGGACCCTGTTAGGTGCTTTTCTCCCTCACTCCTTTCCCTGCCTCCCAATCTCTATTTCTATCCTTTCCTCTTTCACGTCCGATGCAGGAGAATGCATCACCCAAATAGTTCCAGAGAGAATTTCTCTCTCTTCTCCCCCAACCGTTCTCCGGACTGCAGTCCACCTACCATATTTCAACGAACAATCAGAGCACTCTCTTTTAAAGTAATCATACATACAGGCACAGTTTCTTAAAGCTTTGCCTAATGGTCACACTCCATGTTTTGGCGAACACACACACACACACACACACACACACACACACACACTATGATTATGCAGCTCATTTTGGTATCTATGAGCTCAGTCAAAAATACAGTTACAAGAGGAAAAACTGTGCTTAGGACAGGATGTCAATGCTCCAGAACGTGAAGCACAGAAGCAAGAGCCTACATGCTCCAGTCTCTCTGGATGTGGGCAGTGCAGCACACAGCAAGTTCAACAGCAGTGACATGGAATCCTCAGGGGTCAGCTACTCATCTCCCACACCAGGATGCAGAGCAGACTCAGGGCCACCCACCCCAAACCCGACACTATTCCCTTTGCTTTGAGACCCCACCTAAATGCCACGTGGAGCCCCAGTTTGCTTTTCTGTGGCCAGCACCCATCCCACGGGAGGGAGTTTAATCTTGTCTTTTATTTGCTCAGCAAGGCAAATAAAAACTGGCCGTGCAGACCATAAAAGAGCAAGAAAGCACCCCAAATCCGGTCATCGTCGGGTGCTGGATTCGCCTCCCGTTCCCACCAGCTATGCTGCCCCCCCATCCCACTCCCCCGGGGAAGTTTTAACCGAGCAAAGACCCAGGGCGCTTGGAAGCAACCGCGGTGACATCTACGGGTGCGCTTTGCAAGGAACACAGAGCTAGTCCCGCGCGTGCACATCCACCGACCGCTCTGATGCAATCCTGGCCGACACTGCACGCAGAGCAAGCCCTGAAAGAGCCACCGGAGCCAGCCAGCCGGCAGCCCTCGAGAGCGCCAGGGACGCAGGACTTGGTCTTGCGCACAGAATTCTTGGCGACCGGGATTCTCTCCCAGCTGCGCAGGCAAGAACTATTTTCCGAAAACTTGCACGAAGCGTTCAAGCCCGGATACGATTCAAAGTGGCTCTCTCTCTCTTTATTTTTTTATTTTGAGAGGAGGAGGTGTACCCCTTCCCCTCGCAATAGGTCACCTTTCCCTCAACTACTTTGGAAAAAAAAACAAGGCAGCGTTTCCAGGGAATTAGGAAGAAACCGAACTCGCCTCGACAAGCCACGGCGATCCCAGTTTAATCAGAATATCCCGCTTATTTATTGGGGGGAAGGGGGGAGCTGCCTTGAAGGAAAGGGGGTGGGGGAGAGAAACTCAGATTGATCCCAACAAACCGCTCCCCAAATTTAGGGAGGTGGGGTCCCAGAGCAGAGACCTCAACGCTCCGCCCGCGCAAAGTCGCTTCCCTGCAAATCCTGACACCTGATCGCCCGCCACCACCACCAGGGCCCGGTGGGCAAGGGCCAACAGACCCGAAGAGGGGTCCCGGGCTGGACCAGGAATGGGGGGAGCGGGGAAAGGGGAGGGGGCGGCCCCGGCTGGCGGGGAGGGATCGTAGGAAGGGGGCCTGGGAGAGAGAGGAGCGCGCGGGGACCCCGGGGAGGGTTTGGGCGTGGGACTGGGGGGTGGGGGGATGCAGACCGTCCAGCGCCAGCATGGAGGGGAAGTCCTTGCAGTTGGAGACCCCCGTGGAGTCGGTCACGCACGTCTTCCACAAGTTGGCCCAATAGGTGGCGGTGGTGATGACCGTGCCGTCGATGGTGGACACCTTCCAGTAGTCGGTGGGCAGCGTGGACGACACCAGCACCCAGCCCGAGATGGAGACCATGAAGGCGATGATCTCCGAGGCCGTGCTCGCCATGCCGCCCGCTGCAGCCGCGCTCGCTCGCGCCGCGCTCTCTCCCGCGCCGCGACCCCCACGCCCGGCCCTGCAGCTCAGCCTCCGCCGCCGCCGCCGCCGCCGCCGCCGCCGCCTCCACCTCCACCGCGGCCTGCTCCGGCCACGCCCATGCCACGCCCCGGACCCGCCTCTCCCTCCCTTAGGCCCCGCCCCTGACACGCCCCCGACACGCTCCCACCGCTCACACCCGCCGCCAGGGGGCGCGCGCGCTGCCGCCTCCGCCTCCACCTCCGGGCGCGCTCAGGGCGGTGGGCGCGGGACCCGGGACACCCACCCGCGCCCCAACTCCCAACCCCCGATCGGCGCCGGCGGCAGGGCACGCACTGGCACGTCCAGCTTCCCCGGTAGAAGCAGAGCAGAGGAAAAGTCTTTTGCGCGCCCAGAGAGGAAGGGCACGGCTGGGAACACACGCGTATTTGCGGCGCAGCCCGGGTCGGGAACCAGCGCGTAGGGGGCGCGCGGACCCGAAAGGGGCTCACTCCGCGCTGGAACGGGGCTTGGGGGCACCCGGCTGGCTGTTCCTGACGGCTGCCCAGCCTGGGCTCTCCAGAGTCCCGCCACTCCTGGGGGCGCGGTGCAAGGCCGCAGTTCCGCACAGGTTCCTCCTGCCTGCTGGACCTGGGGCTTGAGTGTTCCAGCCCCCTGCGCACCTGCTGGACACGCATTGGACACGTCTCCCCGGGCAGAGGGGCGGGGTGGGGGTGGGGGTCTGCCAGTTCCCAGTTCTCCGAGGCTTGCTCTCAGAATAGCTGGTGCTGTCCCAGAGAAAATCACATTGCCACAAGGGTGTGCGGTGGAGGGTAGTTAAGTTGGGGGAGGGGGGTGGGGGGGTAGGGATACTGGGATCCGTGCTGGTGGGAAATGGGCATTGGTGGAGGGATGGGTACTTAATCATTGTATAATTGAAACACAAGCACAAAAATGTGTAAGTCTACAAGTGTAGATGATGTCATGATGTCTCACTAATAAAAATTAAAAAAAAAAAAGATAGAGGAGGGTTCATTTATGGCAACCTTGGTTGGAAATGACCACCATGGATAAGAACTGAGTGTTGAAAGTACGTAAAGGCATATACATGATAATCTTTCAGTATCTGTATTGCAAACCATAATGCCCGAAATGAGAGAGAGAGAGAGAGAGAGAGAGAGAGAGAGAGAGAGAGAAAGAGAGAGAGGAGAGAGAGAGAGAGAGAGAGAGGCAGGCAGGGGTGGGTGCTGGGAAATTACAGGTGGAGGGACGGAGGTTGGAACATTGTGTGACTGAAACCCCATCATGAACAGATTTGTAATGATTTATCTCATGCTCTATCTCATGGTGATTCAATAAAATAAAAAATATTATAAAGAAAAAAAGGAAAAGAAAATCACTTTGCACCTTGCTTGACTCCCCCTGCCCCCCCCCACACTCACACACTTCTTTTAGCCACCTCCCCCTCTCATGCCTAATTGAAGATCCAACTCACTCATTCCTTCACTGCTGTCTCAAGGTAAACAAGGAGATCAGCATGTACTTTCAGCAACTGAGGCCACAGATCTGGACATAAATAAGAGGACAAGGACACTGGTTTTATTATGGATTTCTTTTGGCCCCGTCCAAGCTCTTGCAGTTCTGGGGCTGAGCTGTTCAGGATTCACTTTTTGCCAAAAGTAACCAAAGGTCTAAACCTTAGCACGCGGCTAGGGTAAAGCTGGTTGGATCATCTCTGAGTTTCACAATCTTTATCACGGGGACATTTTGGTTGGTTGGGGAGCCTGTCCATCCCTGTCTATTGTCCCTCTCTTTGTTATCTTTGGCTTTGGCCCTTGTGTCTGTGGAGAAGAAAGGGCTTTGGACTATAGTGGAATCATTTGAACGTCAGTGTGGAGGGACTCTCAGCGGGGCCCACCCAATCTAGATCATTTCGACCATTTCAAGACCTAATGAAAGACTCTGTGCGGGGTCTCATCTCCGGGGCTCTGGCTTCAGCTCAGGGTGAAGTATCCCAGCACTGATTGGTTTTGGTAACCTTTAAGAGCCCCTTCAAGTGGAATCCAAAGGTGTCTTTTTTGGGGGGGCTTTTTGGGTCACACCTGGCGATGCTCAGGGGTTACTTCTAGCTCTGAACTCAGGAATCACTCCTGGGAGTGCTCAGGGGACCATATGGAATACTGGGAATTGAACCTGGGTCAGCTGCGTGCAAGACAAACGTCCTGCCCACTGTACTATGGCTCCGGTCCCCAAAGGTGTCTTTTGAACTTGCATCTGAATGCTGCAGCGTGTGCTGGGAGTGCCCATCGTGGGGCCTGTTCTTAGGCAGGGCTGCAATCAACCCTTCAGGAGGTGTGTGGGATCATGCGTGGCCGGGATTTCAATGAGAGTTCACGGTGAGGGTGGTCAGAAGGGGGCATGGCCACCCTACTGTCGTGAATTCTTGGTCCCAGTGTGTCCTTGTGTTTTATGCTACCTTCACTGGTGAGTCACCCTTAAAACCACATTGGGAAGCACCAACCGGCTGTCATGCTTCTCACGGGCCCTTTGAGTCCCGACTACACAGTGTCCTCTATTCTTTGGTCTGTTTTCCCTGTTAGTGGGCTCTTATCACCCACTACCTTGCCCTTCAGCTGCTTCCCACTCTTATGTCTCTGCTTTATCCCTTTAGGAATGGTCTAGCATGCCAGATCCTGTTTACTCTACCCCAGGTACAGAAAGTCATGAACTAGATTTCCCATGGAGCATTGTGGAAGAGAAATCCAAACACATGTTCTGGCTTTGCCCTTCACCGTGTCTATTATTGCCTGCTGGTGTCCCCCTCACTTTCATGGTCTCAATTTACTTTCTACAGACATGGCACTGACTCCTTCTGGACACATATGAAGAAATAAGGTGGGTAAAGGCAAAGATCAAGTGGTTTCCATTTTATCAACGTTTTGATAACAAATTTTGTTATTTTGGAAGCCCAGGCATACCGTTTGTTTTAAAGTAAGGATGATGAAGAATGGTATGGAGTTTTAGATCTGTCCCCCAAAGTTTAATGGATAACATAGCTCTACATAGGGTGCTTAAAAGAAATTGTCTGCCATAGATGCAGGCGAAGGGTTGAAATGGGGCGGGGGGGGGAGGGTGGGATACTGGGGACATTGGTGGTAGAAAATGTGCACTGGTGGAGGGATGGGTGTTCGGTCATTGTATGATTGAAACTCAAACATGAAAGCTTTGTAATTGTATCTCATAGTTATTCAATAAAATAAATAAGTAAATAAACAGTCTACCAATTCAGTTTCCCTTTGTGCGTTGCCTTCCATGGAAACGTTCTGAATTTCAGCCTTGACCTCCAGGATAGTCACTTTTGTTTCTCCTGAATAGCCAGGTGATTGAAGCCAGATATCTGGCTGTGGCTTTGATATTTCTAAAACCCTTCACATCACTCTGGTCTCCACTGCTCTGACCAGTGGAGATGCATGCAGAAGTGAGTGGACAGTTCATGCAACAGAGCAGACAGTGTGCCTTGCAGACAGAAAGACTATTAATTCCTGCGTGGAAAAAAATTGAAGAAGAAATATCCTTTCACCTTGGACATTATAACACACAATTGCAACTTAGAAGGGTTTGAAACTCCCACAAACAATCCATAAATTCAGATGTGGATGACAGCACTATTAGTTCCTGAGCCAGTTAAACAAGGAGGGTCGTCATGCCCGTGGAGTTGATTAATTTGCTTTTATCCTTTGTCCTTCCTATGAGGCTGAACAACCTAAGTGCTTTTTATTTTTCTTCTTTGGCATGTGCTTCATTTTGGCTGGAGAGAGTTATATTTTAGAACTCACAAGTGCCTGATCAAAGAATGAAAAATGTTAACATTCTCTAATACCTAAGGAATATTATGTAATGAATCACGCATTCATTTTGGGATGTTTGATAGTTTAAGCCTTTCAGAAACCAGTTTAGTCGAAAGAAACCTAAAGATAGTACAAAGTACACATAATCCAACATAAGAATGTCCAGAAAATGAAACTGGACCCAACAGAGACAATTTTACAAAGAGGTAATGAATAACTGGCCTGTTTCACTTTAATTATAGAGTTCCAAATAACCTTTGCAGTTAATCTGCAAACCAATTTACAGAGTACCTTTCAATTGATAAATGCTTCCTTGTTTTCTTTAGGATTCAGCTGACTTAGTCATTCATAAAAAAAACATTCTTTTTTAAAATTTATATATATATAATTGAATAACCATGAGATACAGTTAAGCTTTCATGATTGAGTTTCAGTCATACAATGATCGAACAACCATCCCTCCACCAGTGTGCATTTTCCACCACCAATGTTCCCAGTATCCCTTTCACCATCCCTGTCCCCCCACCCTCTGCCTCTATGGCAGACACTTTCCTTCTCTCTATACTTTTGGGCATTATGGTTTGCAATACAGATACTGAGAGACCATCATGCATAACAAACCATTCTTAGTTTAAATAGATAAGTGAACATACCTACACAGTTAATTCTCCAGATTATTCATAATAACATCTTCATGACTGATAACTTGCTCTCTTAAAAAAAATCCTGTAGATTTTCTTCCAATACAGACATGACTCATGTGTCTATAGGTTTAAAAAAACCTAACATGAAATATTGAATATCCCGAAATATATTGGAAATCTTCCACTTTGGAGACCTAAGCTACTAATATTAGCATTGCAAGCTAATGTGTTGGCATTACTTTTGATTATTAAGGAAAAATAGAGGATTTCCTCCACCCTGGGGATGGTTCAATAGGAGTGAGAACCAGTTTAGCGACTGAGCAGGAGATTTGCAGAAATTCTTTACTTGAGATTCAACTCACCTGCCAAACAACACAGGTGTGTCTTTCAACAGCTCAAGGATTTTCTAAGCATCAAATTTGGTTTCAGTATACATTAGCTCCTTCCTCGATTCCAGGGAGGTGGCATGTGGTGGGAAGAAACTAAAGTCCTGATAAATAGGGTATTACCTTTAAAAAAAAAAAAAAACTGCCCAGAAGCCAAATACTGTTACACTATATTAAAGGAGACATTAATGTCCATACCAAGATAGG